AGAAAATAGTAAACATGAAAAGAAGAGTTGGGAATTTAACGCAGAGATAGAATGCAAGCTTAACGTGGAAACCCTTGGATTCAATCTTCCGCACGAAAAGAATAAAGTAAAAGAGGAAGAGGAGAAGGAGGAGGCGGAGGAGAAGGAGAATGAGGAGGAAAGGAGAAAAGAAGGAGAAGAAAATGTTTCTAAGTAAAGGCTAATGAAAACAGCAGAGGGACTTCGAGAGAAGTTAATTCATGTAGGCTCCATCATTCCCAGATACATAAGGAAGTATTTGATTCATGCTCTTGGGCCTCTTCAGGCTTTGAGATTCCTTTGTGTTACTTCTTCCCTTATAATGAAAACAGAATAGGTACCAGTAAAATGCATTAGAGATGACCAGAGATTAAAGAGGCTCATGAATGGAGGCTCTGCTGAAGTTTGAGGTGATGACTACCCAGTAGCATTAATGTGTGCCTTTTTTTTGGTACCGGGGATCAAACTTGGGTCCTTGAGCTTTCGAGGCAGGCAGTGGAAATTGTGTGCCATTGTTTAATATTTTCTAGTCATGCCTAATTAGTCACGTATAACTTGGGAAGGCTGTACAACCCAAGACCAGTGTCTAGGTCAGTGTTATCCCCTCAGTTACTGATACCCCAGAACCTTGTCTTCAGAAATGGGCCAAGTCATAGTACTTCATCACCTAGCACACTGACTGGTCCACTGGAGGATAGGTGACCTAAATCACAATAGTAACATTCTGCCTGGGACTTGTCATGCTGGAGCTAGAAGAAAGAGCTGTTTGTTTTCTCATGTTTAGACACATAAGGGTGTAAATAGGTGTTGCTTATAGTAGATGGTTTCATGTGTACTAGAAAAACAAGAACTGGAGATACGTAGGTTGGAAAAGGAGAAGGGTTGAAAGTCAAGAGGCAGAATTTAAAAATTATTAAATCTGTGAAGCCAATTCCATCCATACCTCTTTATGATTCGACTACTTAAGCTGTTAGGTCCCCCTTATCATTAAAATAAAATTTAGATATTTTACATCTGAAGCTAAGAGAAATCTTAAATCACTTATGGAATATTAGTGTGGAGAAGTCAACATAAGATTAGCTAAAAGTCCCTCTTCAGGTATAACAGAAAGATAATAGAACAAAAAAGTTGAAAGTACAAATTGAGTATCCCTTATCTGAAATTCTTGGGACCAGAAGTGTTTCAGATTTTCAATTTTTTTCAGATTTTGGAATATTCGCATACATATGGTAAGATACCTTAGGGATGGGACTCAAGTCGAAACCTGAAATTCATTTGTTTCATATACATCTTATATACACAGTATTTTCAGTAGTTTTGTGCATAAACAGTGTTTTATGGTGCAGAATTTTCCAATTGTGGCATACTGCTGGTGTCCTAAAAGTTTCAGATTTTTGGAGCATTTCAGACTTCAGATTTGTGGATTAGAGTGTCTCAGTATCACCAAGAGTAGCTGAAATGATAACCACAGGATACACCATGGTATCTGGGCCACACAGAAAAAGTAGTGGCTGTTGGGCAAGAAATAAAGAAGGAGTCAGATGAACTAAGTCCTTGACTGGGCTAAGTAGATAAAAAGAGGAGTTGAGGTGAGGGTTGGATGCCATTACAAAGCATCTTTCTTTTATTAAGGAAAATAAGATCATCACAAAACGCTGCAAAGTATCAAGCAAATTTCTTTGTAATGTTGGCATTGAAAATAATAGGGATAGGACCAACCGTTTAGAGTTGGCATGCTGCAATAAGAAATCTATCTTATATTATGTATACAGGGTGAGGATTTGACCTACAATATGACAAGTCTATTGAATCTGACAAAATATTTTATCATTAGAATTTTGTTGTGAGATATCTAGCTGATTGAGTAACAAAATTTTTTTAAAATTTAGAACATTTCTCTTTAATCAAATAGTCTCAAGGACAAAACAGTTTAAAAAACAATTGTTGTAGAGCAGAATTGAATATATTAGGAAACTTTGGGATACTTAGATATCATTTTTAAACTATCTAACTTTATGAACAGATTTTTTAAAAATCCTTGCCACACCAGGAATTATTCTGGGTAATACAGAGTGTGACAGTAAATAAAGAGCTTTTCTCTGTCTCTTTTCAATTGCAGTTTCTCAGCCCACTATTACTTGTGGTTTCAGAATGGCTCAGACAAGTAATAAAATCCATTTAAAAGCCATTTATCCGGGAATCTCATGAGACCCTCTGCACTTCCTTAAGTGTTCAGCTTCAGGAGACATTAGCAATACTGTACCTAAGGTTTTTGGAGTAAATTTAGGTTCTTTGAAAAGAATATCCACCTGGATGCATGGTCTTAAGGACTCGGTTTAACGGGGGGTTTTTTTTCTCTTTTTTTTTACTTTTCTAGGTCCTTTGTACTCCTACATAACTTTTAAATTTCAATATCCAATTCTTCATTTATAGCAAGTATACACAGACCTGAATTTTTATATATACCTTGTGTTTTCTAATCCTGCTAAATTCAAATACAAGTTCTAGGGGCTCCTAGAGATTTCTCAGTATTTTCTCTATAGATGATCATTTCGTCTACATATAAAGATTCTGCTTCTACCTAGCTAATCCTATCTTAATTGTGTCATTTTATTGCCAGACTATTTTGGTTTGGGCCTATGTTTCAAAGTTTAATGGACACATGAAGAGTAGGCATATCTGCCCTTGTTCCCCACCTTAAGGAGAAAGCATTGTATCTTCTCCAGTCACAAAAGCCATTTTTGCTGGAAGTACGGCGTGCATGTCTTTGATCTGTTGAGAAGGTTCTGTTCTACTTCTAGTGTCCTGATAGCTTTTACCATGAACAGCTGTAGAATTTAGTCCAATACTTTTTTCTGCAACTACTGACAGCATCACATGGTTTTTTCCTTTCCTCTGTTAAAATGATGACTTTTGGGGGTGGATCTTCCAATGCTGAACCAACACTGCCATCCCTATAATAAAACCACTTTCTACATACCGCCAGATCTGACTTCTAATAGTTTGTTTTGTTGAACAAATTTCTATCTATGTTCATACTTTTTTCTTCTATTATCTTTATCCAGTTTTAGGATTATCACAGTGTTGATTTCCTAAAATGAGGGGAGAAATGTTCCTTCTTTTTTCTGCTTTAAATGTTTGATATAATTTATCAGTTAAAATGTATACGAGCCTGTTGTTGTCATATAGGTAGGTTTTCAAGCTAGGAATATACTTTCTTTAATAGGTGTTATTCAAATTTTATAATTCCTCCAGAGTTAGTTTCATTAATTTGTCTTCCAAAGTACTTCTTAGAAGTTGTCAAATTTATTTCAAAACAGATTTTTGAAATATGCTCTCTATATCTTTTTAAATTCTGTAAAATCTGTGGTAATGTCTCCTAGGTCTTGATATTTTAATTTTGAAAATGTATAATTGATATTGTGTAACGGGAAGAAAAGGTCTAAAAGAGCAGGGGAAGTGGGAGGGGTAGGGGAAAGGAAAGAAGGGAAGAGAAAAAATATGAGAAAAGGAAAAAATGGAAACAAAATCTTTGCAAATAGGGAAGGGTGGAGGGATTGAAGGGAAGGCAGGGGAAGGTGAAAAAAAAAAAAGAACCAAGATACTCATGTAAAGGTACAAGATCCCAATGATGAATGTAACTGTATTTTATACCTAAAATACCAATAAATTTAATGGGGGGAAAAAAAAGGACTCGGTTTATTTTATTATGGTTTGTGAGAGTCTCTCATTATTTGAGAATACTTAGTAAGGATAAAGTATCTCCTGATTGGTATTTGCTACCATAATTATTTAGTAATTCAATTATTAGAGCTACACTGGAGAACTTCCACATACCCTGTGAAGACACTGGCTAAGGATACATGTGTTGAATCCTTAATAATACAAACTTTGTACCCTACAAAGAGCTGTACTGTATTTGGAAGGAAATTCATTACTAGTGTGCAGACAGTTGGAGGAATTGAATTAAAAGGCAGAAGATAAGAATACAAAGCGTTTCTACCTATTATCCTGCTTGGACACCTTTTGAAACTCGTCTTTCCTCCTTTGCAAGGTGAAGAGTCAGATGGCATCGAGGCTCCCTTTTTCCTGTCTTGAAGTGAATAAAATGCTTGCTAAGCCTTTCAGGTTCCAATAGATCCAGGTCCTTCTTTGAGGAAAAATCTTCCAACAACATCATCATGTTATTATGCATATAGTTATTCTTGTATGTAATATAATTTTCTATTATTTTATATCTTAGAAATGAATTTGACATTTTAATGTCTTATTCAACATTTAAAGCATTTTCCTAGAAAGCTGTTATTGTGGAATAATTTGATTCTGGAGCTAGAACAGGGAAGCTGTTTCACACTAACTTGACTGTTACCAAGGTCTAAAGAAGCATTCTGTCCCCTCCAGCACCACACATACACACTATCTTAATGCACAGGTGTAAAGCAGATTTTGGCATTAGAACACAACTTAAAAACTGCCTATGTCATTGGCATAGAAACTCTAAACTATTCTGAAATGTGTTTCCATATTTAGCTTTGGTCCCCCTTTTGTGTGTCTCTCTCAGTAAGTTGCTATGAAAACAGTTGGATTTTTTCCATTAGTGGAAAAGTTTTGAGTACCACCAAAGTCCAAATGAATGGAATGATAAGACCATGTTTTGAATGACAAAAGTAGGATGTGCAGTCCAGTTTTAATTACATCCCAATTTTGTTATGATGAGATGTAATATACAGTGCTGTCTCTTATGTATAAAGATTGTTTTTTACATCTTTGTTTCGTGAAACTCTGCTTAACCTGTGCTCCTTTGCTTCACTGAGTATCCTCATTTCAGAGCCAACATCCTGTCAAGAGGCTTTAGGCTATCTGGTCAAGATAGTTGGAGAGTAAAAAATGTTGATTGCAGATGCAGATTTCAAGACTTTTGGGTGAATTCAGAATATGGAATAGAATGAAAAGTAATGTTATATTATTTTCTCTCTTTACAGGCTCTGTATAACTCCATCAAGAATGAGAAGCTTGAATGGGCAGTGTAAGTATGCTGGATATCAGCCTTTTAATAATGAACTACTCTCTTTTTTCTTGCTGCCTTGGACATGCTTTTAAAGAAGGATTAAGTATGCATTGCCAGTTCACATTTTACATCAAGCGTCTTACTACCTTGTGTAAAACCTAAGTAAACCCTAAGTATCCTATGCTTTTACCCCTTGGTACCCAGAATACCCCTGTTCTTTCCTTTTTTTTTTTTTGGTATGGGAGATCAAACTTGGAACCTTGCACTTATGAAGTAGGCGGCAGAACCACTGAGCTAAATCCCTGGCCCACTCCTATTTTAATCTCATTTCTGTGCCTATAGGCAAGTAATCATATTTTTAATGTATCCTTTAAAAATGATATTCTAAAGAAAATCTTCTGATAAAACTAGATTTACTTCAGAACCCAATACACATGATTTTAGTACCAACCGCTTGTTTTAATTCTCTTACTATCATCATAGATCAAAGTTTTCCAATCTTATTTTCTGTAATCATCCTAGACCATGGACAGATAATAACCACAAAAAGAAAAAGGGTTCTGTGGATAGATATGCTTGAGAAATGATGGATTAAATAAAGCTAATCCTTCTAGGAGCATTTAAAATCTTTGATAGAGAATAAATTTCATGTTTTCTGAATCTATTTGATAGTAAATGTAGTGTTTCAAGGTCCATACTTTGGGAAATGTTATGGATAAATTGCACTTTATGTAAACCAACAATACTATTTTTTTTAAATCTTCATTGATCAAAACGGCAATAAAAACTTTAATTTAAAAAATAGCTAGGGAACAATCTTTTCTACATTTTTAATCAACTTACCAAGAAATTAGGTCAAAATATATTTTTTAAATAGAAAACCCATGTGAATTTTATTATTTTCACTGATACATACCATTCATTTTTTTTAACCTTGTTGCCCAACAGCAGTCTGCAGTGAAATCAAGTTAACAGAATCCTAACTTGGGTGATAAATCTTGTTCTGTCATATGCGTACCGGGGAAAATGACTTAGCATTTGACTGAATCTCACATGTAATATGCTAGAGTGAATTTAAAATGTCAGTGCCACTTAAATTGTTTTCCCTAAGTGCAGTTATTCATACTGTTTCAAATTGAGTTAAAGACTTTAATATTTGCACTTATATGTGTTCATAAATAATGAGGGTCATTTAAAGACAGTGTACTATTTCAAGCAAAACTCAAGATTATTAGGAATAGGTGGTCTAAAATCCAAGGTACTAATATATTTAGACTCACCTCTTTTCCTAGAAAAATTTTGTAAATGTACTTAGAATCTTGCCAAAATGTTGAAGGGTAAATTTGCCCTCTAGAGAAAATAAATAGAAAAGGAAATAATTTGAAATATATTCATACTGGACTAGAGAATATTTTGAGTATTATTTTATTAAATTATTTTACAAAGCAAACAAATATAATGTTGAGAACCTTCTTTGTGAATCATATGTCTTGAATATATTGAATTTGTTTCTATAAATGTTATTTGTGTATTTTTGCATAGCTAGACTTTGGTGCAAGAACATTTTATTTTAGGTTCTACCTGAGCATACAGGGATTAGGGGAAGTTTACTCTAGAACTGCATTCTTCCACGGCCCTTCTGTCTCATCAGCAGAGCGGCCGGTTCAGGAACCCAGATCCCAGAGTCAGATAGATTTGAGTTTAAATTCCAGCTGTGCCTTCTACTAGCTGGGTTATTGGCCAAGTTAACCTTAAGGCCTCAGTTTCCCCTTTGTAAGACAAAGCAACTCTTGAGTCTCATGGAACCAGTAGGATAACACTGTGAAATATTGTAAAACACTAAGCATTAAGCAAATTACCCTTCAATTGATACCTAATGCTGTAGCTTTTGAAGCCCTGGTTTCTATTTTATGTTTTTCTTTTTTTATCTCATTCATATGCTTATACACATACTACATTCTTATCCTCTATAAAGTATAAGGTACTGTTCTTATAGTCTATCACATAATTAAATTTCTTTACCTATACAATGAAGGAAATAGATGAAATCACAAGTATCCTTTCCATCTTAATTCTTTTAAGATATATATGTATCTGATTTTCCCAAGTTTCAATTCAACATTTGCATTTTCCTGCAGGGCATTTCTTCCAACACTTAGCACTCATCATTTGTCTCCAGACTTTGTTGTATGTTTTCCATTCATGTTAATGATGCCCACATTCTCCTGCTTACTTGGATTTTAGCTTCTATGTCATCTTTCATCCCGTCCACCATCTTACTACTTCAGAAATGACCCCGAACACCACCAACAGTTGCTTCATGTCAGGTGCCTCTTACTCCAGTCTCTTTCTTGTACTTTAATCTGTTCCTCTGCTATAATTAGGCTTTAAAAATTCTGCCTGTAATCTATTCTATCCCCCATTATTGTCTTCACACAGTCCCCATTTCAACCAGGCTGCCAGAAGGTACTGTTCCCCGTGCTTGTCCCATGGTGTCCTGCCTTTTGCCTGTGTTCCTGAAGTTACCTCTGCTTCCAGCTTGCCCCTACCATCCATTGCAGCTCAGTTTAGATAACACCCATTCCTTGGATATTTCCTTCTTGCCAACCAGAAATCATCACAGCCCTTATGCATCCATTTTGCTTTATCTGATGATACCATCAGTTTCTATTCTGTTACAGTAATGTGTAGTAAGGTATCACTGAACTATAAACTCTTTTAAGGAAATGATGAATATCTAGAATTGTGCCTTTATGTCTCTCTTTGCTGATTACAGTGCCTATATGTAATGAAGACTCCATAAAAAGCTATAGAAAAGGCTGGGTGTGTAACTCAGTGGTAATGTGTGTTCTTAGCATGTGGGAAATCCTGGGTTTAATCTCAAGCACTGAAGGGAAAAAAACGAGGGGATGGAGAAGAACTGTAGAAAGATTGTTAGTCGTATGCAAACAACTGCATTCTTGAAAGATAAACCTATAGTTGTTAGTTTAGAAAGTAGTTCCCAGAAAGATGCAGCTACTGCAGATTTTATATGGTAATGTGTACTTGCATGGGAAGTATCTTAATGTAGATTTTTTTTTCTTTTTTTGGTACCAGGGATCGAACTTGGGTCCTTGTGCTTGCGCAGCAGGCGGTGAAACCACTGAGCTAAATCCCCAGCCCTAGATTTTTAAAACCTTAGAGGAAACTGAATATATAGAATCATGGAGAATTTTAATTCATGGAATTCTGACTGGTTTCCATGGACACCTAGGGCTTCAGGGAGATGTCTCAGGGCCTCCCTCATGGTATGAGTGAGGGGAAAGGGGGAAAAGGCTGGGAACCCAGTTCTGCCTCTTACAAACATCATGCCTATTTCAACTGACCAAAACAACTCCACTTTTATTTCTTTAAAAAATATAAAGTTTCATTAATATTTCTTTTTTAAAAGATATCTATACTTAGAATATTTTTGCCAAAAAATGCTAATCCGCCCAGTGGCTTTATTTCATATGTGAAGAAAAGTAAAATGAAGAAACGTTCATCTCCAGATCCAAAGGCATACACTAGTATAGCGAGATTTGTTTCCTCATGAGTTATGGCCCCCATTAGAAGTTCCATGTTGCCTGTAGTCAACTTGTAGCCACAGTTTTATAAAGTCTTTAGAGAGCAAGGATCATGTCTAATTTTATGCCAGTCTTTGACACAGTGCAAATTTAGAGTGTTATATCAATGTGTTTCATTAAATGCTCGTAGAATTACAGATGTTTCCCCCCAGGCAAGTTAGATGGTATGGATCGTTCATTCATCTCTTCCATACTCCTTAAGCAGCTTTTTTCTGTGTCTGGCCTAGTGCTGCACCTGTGATACAAATGTGAACAAGGTAATAAGGTACAGATCTGTGCTTAAGGAGAACACATGAAGGGTTGCCTGGGGAGGGAGGGCCGGACAGTACAAAGATGAAAGTGTAAAAATTGTAGTGAAGAGTGCGCCGAGTCAAGTTGACTAGTGGGAGGTCTTGACTTCCTCATGCAGGACAATTACCATTTCTTTTGCCAGCTTCCTTTTCTCAATTGTTCATTATTCATAAAGCATCTCTTTGTTGAATTCCTTTATACTCTAGTATGCTGTGAATTTGGGAGGAGCAAATGTATATAAGGCGTTAAAGCATTTTCCTTGGTCTTAATTTATAGTGTATATTATTTTTTTAAAAAAACAGTTACTCTCTTTGCTTGGGATGAGGTTAGTTAAGGTAGATATGGGAACTTGTAACTTACTTTAGTGTTCTTTATGTTTAGCTTGATGAAGATCTTCAGACGATACATTAACAAAATTAGAAAGCAAAATAAGTGCAGCTGAACCAAGCAGCTCTACCTTTTTCTGTTTGAAAAAAATATAGTAAAGTTTCACTTATTTTTTTCATTTACTAGTAAAAGTAATATTTTCTTCCTTCCCTTGACCTCTATTGGTGTTATTTTATATCACTCAGGAATTGAAGAAACCTCCCTTACCTGGTTCCAAAAAATTAGTAATAATAGTAATGATAATAATAATAATAATAATTCATATGTCCCGTCTCACATTAATTAAGTCACAATAAAGCCCGTTTTAAATAATGCCCTGCTGGATTACCACAGTTACAGCACTGTTGTTTTGTTGCAGCAGCCTTGGTCTTAAATCAGTGCACATTTGATCTTCTTAATTCTGAATAAGCATTTCAAAACTCGGTGACGCGGAATAATACTTAATAATTAATATTGCCCAACAATCCTGCAATTCATTTTCTAGCCAGAGCATTTTAAAGCCTTTGTCACTTTGCTTCTAAATTAAACTGTTTGTTTTCTGCCCTCATATAGTGAATTGTCCTGGCTAATTACGTGGGGTAGTGACACCCTGAACGTTTTCAGTCCCTCTCATCATGAGTTAGGAGCATTGACCTTTAAAAGTGAAGTGTGGTTTTAAAATTGCAGCAGTTTGTTGTTAGGCTGCATTATCATTTCTTTCCTATGAACTTTAATCGCACCGGGTCTTTTCAGGAA